AAGCATTATTAAGGGGGACCAAGCAATCAAAACTTTCAAGCAAGCAAATAATTCTCTGTACTGATGTCTCCCCCCCCGACACCGTCTTGTTTTCTGTAATAGCTTTCATTCAATGCAATCAAGCTTTCTTTCATTCTCAATTCTCTTTTCTGCTCTCTTTCAATTGCTCATGACATTGGTTTTNGCTTTGTAGAAGACTAAGTCCTTTTCATTGTAAATATAGAGTAGTTTTGCTGCATTTTCTTTAAGTGTGATTTTCCAGCTTTCATAGGTCTAGTCATGTAACTTTGATTTATTTTTTTTAAGCATTATTAAGGGGGACCAAGCAATCAAAACTTTCAAGCAAGCAAATAATTCTCTGTACTGATGTCTCCCCCCCCGACACCGTCTTGTTTTCTGTAATAGCTTTCATTCAATGCAATCAAGCTTTCTTTCATTCTCAATTCTATTTTCTGCTCTCTTTCAATTGTTCATGACATTGGTTTTCCCGTACGGCACTGACAATCTAGTCTAGCGTACGGAGGGGACCTCAGTTGGCGGACAACAACCGTACTGACATCGGTTGCCTAGCCTTACGTCGCCCTTCCAAGGAACTTCAGGAAGGCGCCGCGTAACAGTATTCATGAGGCAATCCAATGATTGTAAGGTTATATAATTAGAGATGCATTGAATAAGTTCGAATTGCAATGACTTTCTAATTTAGTTGGATCTTTTTACTTCTTGTTAGCTACGTATAAGCTGAAAAGTCCAGCAATGAATATGACTTTATGAGACTACTTAATTCAATCCCTCAAGATCTTAAATGTAGCTTTTACTTAACGCCAGTTGAATAGGCAACACATGCGTATTCAACAACCCGCTCGAGTATATCTATATTCAGGGCAACGTGCTTAATTTTTCCTTAACTTAAAACACGTGTACATGTTTTAGACACCGTGGACGAATGACTTTTTCTAATTTTAATTTTTTTGATAAGGTTTAAAATTTTAATTTCAAGAGAAAAAATTCTTTGCAAATATGTAGATAAAATAATGAGAATTACCGGGTCAAAGTTTATATAAAATATTCTGGAAAATACCATATTTGTGTGAATGGGCAAGCAAAAATATAGAGCAAGAGAAGGAAACAGCTTACGTGTGAGAGCCTAATAAATGGTAGCTTCGTAAAAATGAAACAAGTCAGCAAACGTGGATCTACGTGTCAATCAGATCCATATCAGACAGAGGGCCAGATATATCACATCTGGCAAACAAAACAGAGCCAGGGCTTCTATATATGAGCTGCTAAATTCATCTTGTTTCACATGGTCTTGTATTCGATCTTTCTATTCCAAACTTTGAAGTTCCGTGACCAACACCTATTCTTTCTCCTAATCTCTCTTTTATCATCCACACATACATTCATTTCCCTCTTAGATCTCTTTCCAGCCTTATCCGTTTGCTAATTCTTGGATTTATTCATTGTTGTTCCATTCTTTTGTTTTAGTTTCTACATTGAATTTACAATCTTGTTTGCAAAAGGAAAAAAAATGAAGGGAAGTACTGGAAACCCATTATCCTTAACATCCCTGAATCACATCTCCCTTGTTTGTAGATCAGTTGAGCAATCCATTGAATTTTACAAGAATGTTCTTGGTTTTGTGCCCGTTAGGAGGCCTGGATCATTCAATTTTAACGGCGCTTGGTAATTTGATGCCAATTCCATTATTACTTTTCTTGAGTAATAAAATTAAAGAAAAAGAAGATGCATATAACTTGATTTTATTAAGATATTTTTCGAATTTTTAGTTTACCAATTGCTTATCATATTTGTGTACTGAGATTCCGTGTATTTCTTTGCGTTTCTTGTATGGCAGGCTGTTTAGTTACGGAATAGGGATTCATCTACTTCAATCGGAAGATCCTGAGAAAATGCCAAAGAAAACTGAAATCAATCCCAAAGATAACCATATCTCTTTCCAGGTAATTTCAAAATTCCCGTTAACATGCAGGGCGGATATATATGTAAAGGATTTAGTAAAATTCTTGGATACTGAATTTATGATTTCAAAAAGTATAATGAGTTTAGTATTAATAACTGTAAGCCGCTGGTTGTTAAATTAGTTGATGTGTATGAGCAGGGGCGAAGCTATGTATGATCAAGGGTGGTCAACTGAACATCCTTAGACTAAAATATTATACTATGTGTAGGGTAAAATATCACTTGTTATTGATTAAAATATAGACTTTGAATATTCTTGCACAGCCCACCAGCAAAGAATGTTCAAAATTTAAACACCCTTATTGAATTTTCTGGTTTCACTGCTGTGCATGATCTGAGGTTGTGTATTGAACTTTTGTTGGGTGATGAGCAGTGTGAGAGCATAGGTGCAGTGGAGAAGAAGCTAACAGAAATGGGGATAAAATACGTGAGGCAGCTGGTGGAAGAAGGAGGTATATACGTAGATCAGTTATTCTTCCACGACCCAGATGGATTCATGGTTGAGATTTGCAACTGCGACAACTTGCCAGTGATACCGCTGGCTGGTGAAATGGCTCGTTCTTGCTCAAGGGCTAATCTTCAGTTGCTTCAACCTCAGCAATCGCAGCAACAGTCCGCAGCACAAGTCCCAGTGATCAAGCCTTAAAAAGGAGAGCATATTTTTCAGTGTCCCATACTTTGGATCATCTTCTGTGTGTGTTTGCGTACGTCTTTTCTTAGGGTTGTTGGTAATAAGACAAATTGGCAATTGTCCAGATTTGGAGTTATGTATGAGCTGGTCTCATTGATTCCTTAATTGATTCTGTTTTCTTCTATAGTGTTTGCGTCTTTCAGTACATAAAATACTTAGGATACATCATGCATGCACCGCTTATGAATCAGACTTTTGGAAAAGAAGAAATAAGACACGCAGAAAAACTGCTTGTATCTTGCAAGTGTTACTGGGAGTGACGGGGCGGATCCAAAATAGTAGATATGTATATAAAATTTAAATTGTTCTTACACTGGGCTGTTGTGTGACCAAACCCATATTACGTAATAGAGAGTAGTCTAATGCTACATTAGCAATATTACAACTTTTAATGCAGAATTTAAATCATATATTAGCCACTGCCTACTGGGACGAAGTTAAAATATGAATGGACGGTAATCTCATGTTGCGTACCGCTAATTTGATTAATCAGACTAGTCCAAACAAGCAGGTTGATCATGTCACTCCTATCACTATGTCTGTGTCCCCCGAAAAGGACAAATCACCAGTAGCAACTGGTGATTTAGATTTAAACATGGGTTTGTTTACCTAATATTGGTGCCAATAAACCAGAGCCACAAAATCAAGAGTAGTAGTTTAATCAGGATATTATGTTTATGGTGCAGCTCTTAATTAGAATATGTAAATGTAGCGCAGGGGTCCCCTTTCCTAATTCTGCATGACTTCTAAGAATTTGTAGTTCATATTTGTTACATAATGTGGAAATTACAAACTTTCTCTTGATTCGCCAGCCTTTTTTGTTTGCTTTGGCGATGGACGTATTGACGCGCCACATTCAAGTAGAGGTGCCGTGGTGCATGCTATTTGCAGATGATATTGTATTGATTGACGAGACGCGAGATGGTGTCAACGCACAATTAGAGGTATGGAGGCAGACTCTGGAATCTAAAGGTTTCAAGTTGAGCAGGAGCAAGACAGAATACTTGGAGTGTAAGTTCAGATGCGAGACTCAAGGAGGAGAAGGGGAGGTGAGGCTGGACTCGCAGGTCATCCCTAGGAGAGGAAGTTTTAAGTACGTTGGGTCTATTATTCAGGGGGATGAGGAGATTGATGAAGATGTCACACATCGTATTAGGGCGGGATAGATAAAATAGAGACTCGCTTCCGGTATTTTGTGTGACAAGAAAGTGCCACCGAAACTTAAGGGTAAGTTCTACAGAGTGATGGTCAGACCAACGATGTTGTATGGGGCTGAGTGTTGGCCAGTCAAGATCGCTCATGTCCAGAAGATGAAGGTAGCAGAGATGAGGATGTTGAGATGGATGTGCGGGCACACAAAGTTAGATAGGATCAGAAATGAGGTTATTCGCGACAAGGTGGGTGTGACCCCTATTGAGGACAAGATTCGAGAATCGCTGCTTAGGTGGTTTGGTCATGTAAGGAAGAGGAGCACAGACACCCCAGTGAGGAGGTGTGAGAGGTTGACAGTGGAGGGCTTACGGAGGGGTAGAGGTAGGCCGAAGAAGAGGTGGGGAGAGGTGATTAGGCAAGACATGACGCAGTTTCAGCTGACCGAGGACATGACCCTTGATATGAAGGTATGGAGATCGAGGATTAGGGTAGTAGAGTAAGTAGTCTAGAGTGTTCATAACAGTAATATTGGTACGCAGTCTCGCTTTCTGTTGATAGTAGGTTTTTATGACTAACCGTTGTTTCCTTTCAGTGTTGATCACCTTAATATTTTGTTGTTTTTATTCTGCTTTTATATGGTATTTTGGTACTGTCCCTTCTTGTCTATATTTTCATTAATGTGGTGCTTATGCTTCCTGAGTCGAGGGTCTATTGGAAACAAGCTCTCTATCCTCACAAGGTAGGAGTAAGATCTGCGTACACACTATCCTTTCCAGACCCCATAGTATGGTATAATACTGAGTATGTTATTGTTGTCGGTGTCGTCTCTTGATTCGCCAACTGTCGCATATATCACATGATAACATTGAATGTGTACGAGTGGGTATCAAACTTCACGTACATGTGGATGGTCTCTTACTTATATTGGACTGGGCTATTAGATTCCCAATCCAGCAATCAATTGTACGTTCAAATCCTTTTCTGTTTCAATTTCCAGCATAGGCTTATGTTCAACTCAATATATTATCACTAGAACACGGCCTCCAGCAAGATTTGAGTCGAAAGAGATCCTTTATTTTTTTCACTTCTTTCGACCGCCTCAGAAGCAAGTGACATTATATATATATATATATATTCTAACCAATAGAACTCATGGATGAAGTAGGATTTCAAATAGTAAATGTCATATCATTCATTCCAGTATAAGTTTTGATGTACAACAGTTGTATAATTATGTTAATTTGAACAGTACGTTTATGGCGGAAAAAATGCATGACACGTGAACTATCATCAAGGTGACAAGTGACACTTTCAATCAAGCGAATTAAAGAATTCAAGAAGGCGCGGGAGAAACACCCCCGATATTTCTTTAGAGAAGGTACCGGTCCTAACAATTAGAAAAGAAGAAATAGGGACGGAATGGATAAAGACCATAAAGAGGGAAGGTACATGAATCTGTTATAAATAAGGAAGGGGAATCGACATTGATTGTGGTTATGAGAAATCCTCAGTCATTAATGTTGTTGCTACAATTATATATGGTAACGGGTAATCAAGGCAATTAATGTCATTAACAAGCCAGAATTAAGTAGGAAAACCGTTATAATTATGTACCCTTATATAAAGACCCGGTTCTCATTTGTAATGGTATCTGAATTTTTATCAATATATGCAATTATTCTTTTACTTTGTTAAAAAGTAAAAACCGCAATTCTGGGAGAGATTATCGATCTATTTTGAGTTTTCTTTTCTTGTCAATCATTTTCAGTATTCTTTTTATTCTTCAGATTACCAAGAAAGTGAAGTAAATTTGATTATCAGTAACCCGATTTCTTCTTGATATTGACTTTGATCGAGAAATCTATTTTTGGGTTAAACAAATTGGTTCCGTTACCGGAAATTTGATAATCTGCTCACTTTCCAAACTTTATTTTTAGCAACAAAATATGTCTACTGCTAACGAGAACAACCAGCTAAATCAACAAGGTGGAACTCCACCACATCACACACCCACAACTACACCTCAGCACTCACGAGAAAGTTCACCTCAAAGGTCTGCTTCACGCATTGATGGACAACATGGAGGTGACCAGACTGTTGAGCAAGATGCTTTGAAGCAGTTGATTGCAGAACACGTCAACGAAGCGCTGCAGGCTTTTGCTAGAGGGTTACCCAACGCAACACAAACTCCACACCAGTTAATACAACCACCTTAGAGAATCCGCGTTTATGACTCGATAACTCTGGAAGTGAAGAAATGCCCAATAAATCTCGCGATGGAGGGTCAGGTACACCAAATAATTCAAGTTTACAAAGTTTAGTACTAATTTTGCAGAAACAACTGAAAGAGCAAAATAAGCGTATAGAACAATTACCTGGCGTGCCTCAAGTGATCAAAAGCGTGGATAGTGACAAATATCCACATCAACCCTGGAAGCCAAGTGCAACACCTTTGCCAATTTTTAAAAAGTTTAAAATGCCTGATATTCCTAAATATGATGGGACATTCGACCCACAAGATCACGTTACTGCATTCACTACAGCGTGAAAGGCAATGATTTGACCAACCAGGAGATTGAATCGATTTTGGTTAAGAAATTTGGCAAAACTCTCACAAAATGGGCGTTAACATGGTACTCACTCTTACCTGAAAACTCCATTGATTCTTTTGCTAAGCTTGTAGATTAATTTATAAAGGCGCATTCAGGGACTCAAAAATTTGAAACAATGATGTAGGATATCTTCAAAATTAAACCGGGGAGTTTAGAATTGCTCAGAGAATTCGTTGAAGATTCCAATATGAGAGAATGATGCTGCCGTGAGTACATGATAACTAGGCGGCTATGGCATTTACAAGCAACATGAACGAGAAAAGTTCAGAGGCCATGAGGAGTCTGAAATAAAGTTTGCGGGAGTTTCCTGCAACGACTTGGAACTATGTGTACAATCGATACAATACGAAGTTGCGAATAGAAGAAGATACAGTTACACAGTCAAGGGTAGATGAAAGACCAGGGTCAAGACGCTCGGAATCAGAGAGAAGGTATGGTAAAAACAGGTACGAGCCTTATATGGGATCTACGGGACGAGATTCCCGACCTAAACAAGAGAATGCACGATTTGATTCAAGATCAAGGCAAAAAGAAACGAGTTCTTCTTCTAGATTCAAAAAGGAGCGAGACGCCCGAAGCAACGATTCCAGTACTCAAGCAAGAATAAGAGATTATTGCTTTAACGTTAGCACTTCTGAATTGGTAGCTGTTCTAAGAGGAATGAGATATAAGGTGCGATGGCCAAAAGAGATGAGATCAGATCCAAACAAAAGGAACCCAGATTTCTGGTGCGAGTTTCATAATGACCATGGCTATAAAACGACAGACTGCAGGCTTTTGTAAGGGGAAGTCGAATGTCTACTAAAGCAAGGTTATCTTACTGATATGTTCAGTGAGAAAGGGATACAATCATACATAAAAAACAGGCAAGAACCCCCAAAGCCTCCATCACCAAAGAAAATGGTAAACGTCATAACCGGAGGAGATGAAGTCAATGGGGTAACGTACACGGCTGCAAAAAAGACATCAAAGGTCACTATCACTCACTGGAAATGAGTTCATCAAGTCTTGGAAGGTGACGGTATAATGTTTGATGACAAAGATGCAGATGGCTTGATGATCCCTCACGATGATGCACTGGTAATATCTTTACTTGTACATGATACTAACGTAAAACGTATTTTGATTGACCCAGGTTACTCAGTAAATATCATTTTGTTGAGAGTGGTAAATGAAATGCAAGCCAATGATAAAGTCATACCAAAGGCACAATCTTTATCGGGATTTGATAATTCAAGCGTCGTTATGAAAGGAGAAGTTGTACTAGCTACGTTTATAAAAGGGGTCATCAAAGATACAAAGTTCCAGGTAATAGACGCGGACATGGCCTATAATATAATCTTGGGAAGGCCATGGATTCATGCTATGGATGTTGTCCCGTCCACGTTGCATCAAGTTATCAAATTCCCTTCAGAGTGGGGGATTTGACAAATCCGGGGAGATCTCAACAGGCTTTACGGAGCATTAATTCAGTGGTGATTGCAAATACAACAACCAACAATACAGACACGAAATAGCAATTAAATAATTCAGTTGGGGACGCTTCTATCCATACCTTAAAACACACAGGGTCAGAATGATGTGTATTCAAGACCCGATGTGATTCAAGAGCCAGAGAAAAAAAAGAACATCAAAACAACCATGGAGGAGCTCGAAGCCATGATATCATTTGTCCACTAGCGAGATAGAAAAGTTTACATCGAAGCAAATTTGAGCCCAGAAATGAGAGGTAAGTTAATTGAATTTTTACGTGCTAACGCAGATTGCTTTGCTTGGTCGCATTCAGATATGACAAGTATACCACCATAGGTGATGACTCATAAGATAAATAAGGATCCACTACACCTACATGTCAAGCAAAAGAAAAGGAAGCAAGGGGCCTTCAAAAATCAAGTAATCCAGGATGAGGTCGGGGTGTTCAAACCCGAAACGAAATCGAAACCCGAACCGCAAAAGTGGCTTAATGGCTTATTGGTATCGGGTTTACGGTTTAACGGATGGGGAACATATTGAAATATTTTTATTAATGACTTATTGGCTTGGGGGCGGATTATTCAATTTTCTTAACGGATAATCCGTTAACCCGTTAAGAATATATATATATATATATATATCCTCTCCCTCTCGCCATAGCCAGAGCCCAGAGCAGCAGATGGTAAGTTTCTTTTCTTTTTTACTTTATTTGACAGGATATTTGAAGGCCATTACTTATAAGTATCTTCATAAACGCTAATGGAGTATCTTTATATATATAATTTACGTTTATCCACATGTATATTAAGTAATAAAAAGCCCTTCCACACTTCCACTTCCAGTACTGGACCAGTAACCAGTAATTCAGCATTACTCTATTAGACATTTAGACTTTAGAAACCCTAAGTCCTAACATCTAAAATTCTTAGCAACAATAATTCACAACACACCGGCCAACCTCTCGCTCTCCCTCTTGACTTTCGAGTCTAGCTGACTGCCCGACTCGCCGTCTCGGCTCTCCCTTTCACCGTCTCACCTCTCCCTCTCGCCATAGCCAGAGCCCAGAGCAGCAGATGGTAAGTTTCTTTTCTTTTTACTTTGTTTGACAGGATATTTGAAGGCCATTACTTATAAATATCTTCATATACGCTAATGGAGTATCTAGCTGCTGCTTTATTTATTCTTGGATGTTGTTTCTTCGCAGTTTACCCCCTCTATTTTTGTTTTTATTTAGTTATTCTTCTCTTGTGTATTTCAATAGAGAAATTTGGATAGATTATTGATGAGAAGTATTGAGCCTATTTCAACGGTATCGGGATTGTTCACTGGACGAGCTTTATATTGAAGAAAGATCTCAAACGTGCTGCTGTTGCTGGAACTCGTGCAGATCTGAAATGCTATCTCTCTGTATGTCTTAGATTTTTACTTCGGTTTATTACATGATTTACTAATTAAAAAGGCACAATCTAAACCGATATCAATCCGTCTGATATCTTATCGGGTGGCTAGCAGATTAATACATTTAAAAGCCGATAACCGATAAGCCGAACCGTTAAGAGTAAATAACCACTCGATCCGCCCGATAAGCAGACCTAGGATAAGGTACAAAAACCTCTGAAAATCAGTTCAATACGAGAGGTATACCCTGACTGGTTATCTAACACTGTCGCAGTTCCAAAAAAGATTGGAAAATGGCTAGCCTGTGTAGATTATATATATTTAAATAAAGCTTGTCCTAAAGATTCGTTTTCTTTACCACACATAAATCAATTAATTGATTCTACCGCATGTCATAAACTTTTAAATTTTTAAGATGCTTATTCTGGTTATAATCAGATAAAAATAGACCATTTAGATGATGAACAAACCTCATTTATCATAAACATAGGGACTTATTGCTATAAAATCATGCTATTTGGTTTGAAAAATGCTGGAGCCACATATTAAAGATTAGTGACCAAAATATTTCAAGAACACCTGGAAAAAACTATGGAGGTCTACATAGACGATATGTTGGTCAAGTCAATATAAGCAGGGGATCATTTTCAACATTTGGCCGAGACCTTTGAAATTTTCGCAAGTACAACATGAAGTTGAATCTGGTAAAAGGCGCTTTTGGTGTAACTTCAGGTAAATTTTTAGGTTTTCTTGTTTCTAGCAGAGGTATTGAAGTAAATCCCGCACAGATCAAAGCTATTGAAGAAATACCAAATGTACTCACGAGCAAGAAAGAAGTACAGAGATTAACATGTAGAATAGCGTCTCTGGGAAGGTTTATATCCAAGTCATCGAAAAAATGCTTTAAGTTATTTTTAGTATTGAAAAAGAAAAATTAGTTTGAATGGACTGACGAGTGTCAACAAGCTCTGAAAGACTTAAAGGCATATCTATCAAATCCACCTATGTTAGCATAACCAAAAGACTGAAAGAGATCATTTATCTACCTTGTTGTGCCAGAAGTAGCGGTAAGAGCGATATTGGTATGTGAAGATAAAGGTAAACAATCTTCGATTTATTATGTTAGTAAGTCTTTACTAGATGCTGAGACACGGTATCCTCACCTAGAAAAACTTGCTTTAGCCTTGATTATGGCATCAAGGACGTTACGACCTTACTTTCAATATCATCCTATTTCTGTTATAGATGCTTTTCCACTAAGGAATATGTTACATAAACAAGAATTATCAGGAAGGTTAGCTAAATGAGATATAGAACTCAGTGAATATGATATTATATATCAGCCTAGAATCGCTATAAAATCCCAAGTGTTAGTAGATTTAGCTCAAGCTTAGTTCCTGAAGAAGAAAAAGAGTTACGAATATTTACCAGAGCTAATCTGGGGACTTGGACCTTATTTACTGATGGTTCCTTGAATGTTAAATGAGCAGGTTTGGGGATTGTCTTAATTTCACCCTCGGGAGAAATAATAGGACATGAGATAAAATGTTACCTAATTACTAACGATGAGGCAAAGTATGAAGTTGTGATTGCAGGCTTGAAACTCGCACGAGAGCTTGGTATTGAACAAATTATGATCAAAAGTGACTTACATCTAGTAGTCAATCAAATGCAGGAGACTTACGTGACAAGAGAGACACCAATGCAGCAGTACCTCGAAAAGGTACGAGAATTTCTTAGGCAGTTCCAGAAATGGAAGGCTATACAAATACCCAGGGAAGAAAATGCAGAACCAGACGCATTGGCAAATCTCGCGTCTGTCGCTGATGCAACAAATGCAGAAAATGCTGTTGTGATACATTTATTCCATTCAACCCTCGACCAAACCAAGAGTGAGGTAAATTTCAATAATTTAACTTGAGAGTGGAGAAACGAATTTGTGAACTTTTTGCAGTATGGTATTTTTCCTAAAGATTAAAATAAATTCCGATTGTTACGGTTGAAGGCTGCTCAATATTGCTTAATTCGTGGGAACATATATCGCAAAATATTTGGTAGAATTTTAGCATGATGCCTTGGACTATCACAAATGGAATATTTAATAAGAGAAGTACATAAGGGGCATTGTGGCAATCATGCCGGGGGAAGATCGTTGGTGAAGACATTAATAAGAGCAGGATACTATTGGCCAAAAATGAAAGAGAAAACAAAAAACTTTGTAGCAAGGTGCGATAAATGCCAACGTACGCTAATAATATGCATTGATCGACAAAATTGTTGCATTCACTTATATCGCCATGACCCTTCATGAAATGGGAGATGGATATCGTAGGATCATTGCCTCAAACTAAGGGAAATGTATGGTTTTTGTTAATTCTAATGGATTATTTCTCAAAATGGTTAGAAGCATGTGCCTTTAAAGTAGTGCAAGAAAAGAAAGTTATGGATTTCATTTGGAGAAATATCATATGTCGATATGGTAGTCCCAAAGGAGATCGTTTGTGACAATGGGCCGCAATTCATAGGTGCGAAAGTCACTGACTTTTTCCAAAGCTGGCAAATTAAACAGATCATTTTTGCACCTTACCACCCAGTGGCGAACAGACAAGCTGAGTCGAAAAATAAGGTTATCATCAACAACTTAAAAAAGCGATTGGAAGAGTGAAAAGGCAAATGGCCAGAAGTACTACCAGGTGTGCTATGGGCGTACCGAACAATGGCAAAGACTAGCTTGGAAGAAACCCCATTTTAACTTGTGTATGGAACAGAAGCTCTAATTCCAGTGGAGATAGGCAAACCAAGCACGAGATACACACATACTAGTGAGGCAACAAATGAAGAGCTACGAGTAAATTTGGATTTGACGGAAGAAAGGAGAGAAGTATCATTAATTCGGATGGCTGCTCAAAAGCAGATGATTGAACGATACTATAACAGGAAGGCAAACCTAAGGTACTTCAAAATTGGGGACTTCGTCCTCAAAAAAGGTGCTTCGAACAACAAAAGCGGCAAATGCAGGGAAGTCGAGTCCAAATCGGGGAGGCCCATATAGGGTTAGAGGCATTACTGGAAAAGGAGCATACGAATTGGAAACCATGGACGGCAAGGTGATACCATCACATTGAAATGCAATCCATATGAAGAAGTATTACTTTTAAAAGAGGTTAATACCTACGGTCAGGTATCATGCAAGTTCAATTTTATTTTGTTCATTTAAATTTTATTAACCATTTTAGATGATAGGCAAAAAACTGGCCCGTACCAAATGATGATATTAGACCCTAAAGACACATGGAATACTTAGTTATTCCCGGTCTAAGCTACAACATTTCTATGGCAAAAGGGTTATGCAGTCATCATCGAAATGATTACCTCCGAGTCTCGTATATATTTCCTTTTTCAGGAAAAGGACCAAAAGTAAGGAGCTAATCCAGTGCTCGAGAACTCATGCTTCAATGCTCTAACACTGGTGGGACTATGCATATAGAAGGATACACAAGGAAAGAAGATGTATACCACAAGAGCATATTTTAGCCAGAATTAAAACCTTGAAGAAA